TGAGGATTCTTGGTTCGGGTCTCGCTAGCACAAAAACACGTTCCGCACTTTGGGTCCGCGGGTGCGCTATAAGAGTGATGGTCAGTTCCCACCATTCCGTCAGCAGCCTAAGAATTGGCAGTGGGTGTTGTCGACTAGCTGCTTTTCCTCTAGTCCAGTGGTTCCCAAACTTTATTTTTCACTGACGACATCCTAATCCACTTACCTCGATCTGCGCGACACCTACAATATTTGTCTGTGGATATATTTTCTTTTCTTTATTTTTCTTTGTTTGGTGAAACTCTCACGACACCCCTAGCAACGTGCCACGACACACGGTTTGGAAACCACTGCTCTATAGTCTTATCAAATCGCCCCCAGTATTGTCTCAGCGGTAAGTTTGCAGGCTTACGACGCTAAAAATAGGGTATCGATACCCGTGGTGGGCAGAGCACAGAAAGCCCATGGGCCCGATGGCCAGGTGGTTAGGGCGCTCGACTCGCAATCTGCGAATCGCGGGTTCGAATCCCCGTCCCACCAAACATGCTCGCCCTTTCAGCCGTGAGAGCGTTATAATGTGACGGTCAATCGTTGGTAAAAGAGTAGCCCAAGAGTTTGCGGTGGGTGGGGATGACTAGCTGCCTTCCCTCTAGTCTTTCTCTGATAAATTAGGGACGGCTAGCGCAGATAACCCTCGTATAGCTTTGCGCGAAATTCAAAACAGACAAATAAACAAAATAGGTTTCTTCTAATCTTTGTGGTCCTTTGTAACGTTGATTTGATTGTCTATGTTCAGACGTGAAAGATTACACTTTTGGCTCATACTTTTCAACGTGAATCACCTTCTTGTGATATTATACGAACTTTTGTTGACTCCACTAACTCCATGAATACCTTTAATTGTGGGAATGTTTTGAATGGATTTTATGTTGAATTTCCCAAAATAACACCATCCTCCCATATGAATGACCTTCTTAGACGTTCCACCCTCGTATAAGACTCTAAACACCAAATGTTCTCATGACCTGTTCATCGCATCCTTAGA